TCAAAATTTTTCTAAGCCTATTATAAATTTTACCCAGATTATTCTATAATAAATCCATTGTGTAAGGTACCTACATATAATAAAATATACGTAAAACATTACAAGCTTTGACTTACAACAGTGGATGTAGATTTTTCATTCTGACTAGACTCCACGTTTTCAAAATTTTGTGTAAATTTCGATTGCTGAACATTAGTTTTTAAAGATATATCACTTAAAATATTAATTTTTGGGTGTTGTTCATGATGTTCATCTTTAGTTTCCTAAAAATATATATTGCTTATATTGAACAATTTCGAATGTAGAATATTATATTATTTATACAAGTATTTTTCAAAAAATTCACCGGTATAATTAAATAAACTTAAAATATTAAAAATCTACCGTTCTTTTATCGGCCAAAGGTATATAATCAGAATGATCAAATTCATCAATATCAAATAAATCCCTATTCGAGTTAGTTTCATGTTCTGTAAAATCTTGTAATGGGGTATAGGATGGATCCTTAATGGAACAATCCGAGTCAAAATTAATTTCAAACGAAAGATCTAATGATGGAGGAGGACTGCTTTCATATCCATTATCTGAAACTATACATATTTCTTTGTCACGTAAAATCTCAAATATCTATCTACTAAGTTAAGGTTTGGTAACTCTGCAATACAGGTCGGTATTTCAAGAACAAATACAAATAAATTATATGACTACTACTATACATCTGTAACAAAAGGTATCGCAATTTACAATATTTAAAATTCAGTTATTTTTTTTTTATAAAGAAAAAGCAAATAAGTCTTCAAAAATATCAAAACACATTGTGAAAAATAATGAAAAATAAGGACCCAGTAATAATAAAATAGTAGGTACATGAAACACAAGATTAAAAAAATACGACCCTATAAAAGTAGGAACTGAGATACAATATTAGTTTACAAATAGACACTAGTAAAAATGTGTTTTATACCTACATCATGTATTTTTTAATCAACAATTTAAATTCTACTGTGGCAAATATAACAAAAGTGTTTTGATATTGTATTTTTTTATATAAAAATGTTAAAACGAACCGTTTTTATTTCAAAAGAAAAATTATGAATTTCCATTTTTCATGCCAAAAAACACATTTAATTTTTAATAAGGTAGCACAGAAATGTGTAGGCTATACAGGATGACGACACTAGAAATAGTTCATTATTTGATAATTTTAAATCTACCTAGCGTAATTTAATAATTTTTAAATATGATAGATACTAGATTAAAAAAGACCAATTTAAACATATTTGTCTTATTTAGTTTGCCTGGGATGAACTAGTGTTAATACATTAATGCATTTTTTTTACATCCTGTATGATAAAGGTACAACAATAATATTTTTGTACAACTTAAACTTTAAAATAATAAAGGTACTCTTTATCAATATCAATAAAGTGAACTATTTTCGAAAAAACAAGAATATTTTTGTTTAATATCCTATTTATTAAATAGCTTTGTATGTCAGTTCATCATAAGCTCCTTCTAATCTTATGTATCTAGCTCTAAGAATTGAAATTTGGACCATTCACAATATCTCAACAAGTAATTTAAAATTATTTAAAAGAAAAATACAGGGGTCTTCGTATCGCTGTAGGAAAATTTATGTTAATTTTATGTATTCTATCTGAGTTAGGGTAAACGCCTACATACTCTAGGACACCCTGTATATTTTCTACATGTCCAAACTAATATATTTTAGATATTTCAGCGATTCAAAATGAGAATCACATTTTCAGAATTCTTTAGTAGTGGCGTTAAAACCACACCCCCAAAAATGTATTTTATTAAAATCCATCTATTCAGGAAAATCATTATTTAGATTTTTTAACTACGTCTTATTTTTATATTTTTTTAAACATGTAATAATAATTATATTACTTTAATTTCATTAATATTGGTACCGTTTAGCGATTTAGTGCAAAATAAATGATTATAAATTAATACTTTTTTATCTAAAGAGCGCAAAACTTTTTTACTCGAATAACATTAACTAACTTACCTTCGTCAGCGAAATTTACACGGGCTAACTCAACGAGTCTGCGAGACCTAAAAATAATAGATTATAAGTGGATTGTAAAATTCTAAATAATTTTTTTACCAACCTATCCATTGCTCTGATACACTTTACATGTACAACACACAACTCATAGATCCGGAGCCCAATACAATGATACCTCTTAGTGATTACCATAGGTATATATAATCAGGAAACGAATCGACCCCCACTACCAACTGCACGTTACCTGAAATATGGCAACGGTGCTGGAGGCGTAAAGGGCAACTTCTCTTGCAAAATTTTATACAAAAGAGGCGGATCACTTAAATAATTTGTGGAGGCGTGTTACATTTATAAATATGCTCAAAATTTGTATATTTTTAAGTACTTTGTTTTTTACCCCTCAAGGGCTCCATCTATAAAAATATAGTTTTTAATTCTATTGGAATCAAATACACTCATTTGGTTTTAGTATTTAACATGGAGGCTTGGGTGCCTGTATTACGTATGGAGGCGAATAAGATAGCTGTGCATGTATATATATATATATATATATATATATATATATATATATATATATATACCGATTTCACCCCGTTTATTTTATTTTTAATTATTATTTATTTCATTTATTTTGTAAATATATTTTTGATTGAAATTCCTGAGTTTAATTTTGAATTACGCCTTTTCTTTTTCCGTTTTCAGGGCGTAGTGATCAATAGGTAAAAGTGCAGTGAAAAACTTTATTTACTTTACTACCCCAGTGTAGGTCAACTTAACAGTGAAGGTCTATCCGTTTTATTTTTTTTTGTTTGTACCTGGACTCCACTGAGTCTACTGAGGGTGTACTCTACGTGCACCCCAGGGCCGCAGAGCAAACTGCGATATCAAAACTGGCGCCTGAGCAACCCCTATTCGGGAATTACATTCATAGCGCCACAGACTCGCTGAAGCACTGTAGGTGAATCAGGAGACTTGTCACAGTACAAAATCTAAAAATTTATGTTAACTGTACAAATTGTGTTACTTTTATTGCAGGAGTAACTATTGACTCTGCTCGTGCAAAAGGATACTTTTCTCTTAAGCCTAATATGAGTTCGGGAGTTTCTATAGGAACGGCTGGGGTACAAAATCTGTAACTTTATATTTTAACTGTACAAATTATGTTACTTTTATTGCAGGAGTAACCATGCATTGATTTTGCTTGTGCAGAAAGATACTTTTCTTTTGTTTCTAATAGGTATTCGGTATAGTTTCTATAGGAACGGCAGAGGTACAAATTCTGAAAGTTTATATTTTAACAATACAAATTATATTTTTTCTTATGCAAAAATAACAATAAATTCTGTTTGTGCAAAAAGTCACAGATTTGAATTTAATTAAAAGTTGTTTCAGGCAGTTTGATTAAATAAATTACATTTTTTTAATGGTACAACCCAGACAACACACCAAATCCCAGAGATATCCACAGAATATCTTTTGTGGATATCCAATATATCCACAGGATATCAGAAATATTCCGTGGATCTAATATGGATATTCAAATGTCCGTCTATATCCAGAATATAGAAGATATCCTAATGAACATCCAGCAAAATATCTAATGGGTATCTTCCAGAAAATACAAGAAATCCCAGAGATATCCACAGAATATATTTTGTGGATTTTCAATATATCCAATATGGATATCCAACCAAATGTCCGTCTATGTCCCAGGATATAGAAGATATTCGGATATTCAGCAAAATATTTTATGGGTATCTTTAGTAGAGGTTCATAAGTAACCAATGATTATTGAATAACGTCGAAAGAAAATAGCAGAGATAAAAAATATTTTCAACACTCTGCCTTTGATTTTGCCCACTAAGGAGAAAGTCATCCTTATTAGGACTCTTCAGCAATAAATGGAAATTCTCGACTCCAGTCTCTAATGGAGTCTGATTAGAACACAAATTTCGATCGAACTCGATTACGGCGGGTCGAGCATGAGTAGATGCGAAAGTGGTATCGCCATATATACTTAGTAAGCAAAATCAAATAACATCTAGTGGATATCCACGATGGTTTGCGTTCGCGCCTAGACTTTGATATATTTAGTGGATGTCCATGGTATATTGAATACACCTTAAAAAAATTAATTTTAAATGAACGGTACTATTAGCCACAATGGCGTAATTTTTTAATAATTTGCTATATAATTACTATTATTTATGGACATTTGCATGTCTATAAATTACATATCATGGATATAAAATAGATATCCACCATGGACTGGACATTCAGTGGATATTGGGATGTGCAGTAGATATCCAAAGTATTTGGTGTGCTGTCTGGGAATTCAGTCCTTTTTTATTTTACCTTTGTATTTTTTTAATGTGGTCCTGCTAGCTTAATATTAAACTGGAAGCACCATTTGTTTTTTTTTGTAAACGGTAGATTGTACAAAAAATTGATTAGTAGTACACATTCAGTTCTTTTTAATTCTACCTTTGTTTTATTTTATATTTTATTTTTTTAATGTTAATATTAACCTAGCAGCGCCACGTTTTTTTTTTTTTTTTGAAAACGACACACGGTACAAATTTTTTTATTGTTGGTACAATTTAGTACAAAATAGGTACTAAATAATGTATTAGATCTCAATCGATTCTGCCCAGTTGGTCCTGCCAGCTTAAGAGAGTAAATAGTTTATATTTCCTTATCATTTTTTTTAAGTCAGTTCATCAGTTTGTACCGTGTTCGCTGTTTATAATTTAATTTGTATCAATTAGTACCTATAGTGTTTATATTTCAAATGAAATTTGCAAAAAAGCACCCAGCAAATTACAATATATATATTGTGTTAAAGGTTGAATGTCAAAATAAAAACGGAAATTTTCATTATTTTCCAAGCGTAACTTCTATTTTTTTTTTTGTAATAAATGGTATACAAATTCACAGTTTGTCTAGAATAAAACTGCATTCTGCATTGTGACAATTTTAATTCCGTTTAGTAAAATGGGCAATCATAAAACTACGTACAAAAATTAGGGTATAGGGAATGTTCGTAGACAGAACTGGTTCGAGGATAAAGTTTAAAACATTTTTTTTAGAACGTTTTATTTAATAAGAAAACAAAAATGGGCACGGCCCTCTTAAAAAACGTAACTGGAACTTCAAGTTCTACAATAACAAAATCAACATACTATTTCTTCTACCAAAACATTGTGTACTTAGCAAAATGCAATATTCGACATTTTTCATTATTTATACCCAATCCTAGTACAAGAATTGTTTCCGATTTGTCTTTTAAGTAATTCAAACAGACAAAAAACTAGACTCAAATCTTGTACAAAAATTGAGTTGTTAAAAGCATTACCTCTATCACGTATCATTGAAATTTAACAAGTAATTAACTTCTTCCCCAGAAAGATTATTTTCCAACATCAAATCCCGCAATTCCGGCATTTCTGTAAACCTTTTGGAGTATTTATCTAAAATGTTGTTTTCTATATCTGATACTGGGTTGGTTTCGATGTTCTCCACTACAACAGATTCTGAAGAATGGCAGATATTGTTGACATCACTGAAGTACTTCCAATGGTATGGGTCATCACTTGATTTCAAGAGCTCATATCTAAAATATAGTTAATTACTTTTCTGACTTGGCTTGAAAGCTATTTAAAAAATAGAGTTCAAATGGTGAGGATGGAAGGTAGTCTGTCAATCCAATATGATGTATCCACAGGGTTCTCAATTGGAACCATTACCCGAGAATATGTTCTTCTCGGCTTACCTTAATCCGAAAATGCTTCATAAATGAAGCTAAGCTCTTTGAAGTTGGCACCTTCAAGTCAATTTTTTCAAAATATCTTAAAAATTACATTAACCGCAAAAGTTTAATTTTTGCACACTGACTTAGCTTTTGATCAAATGGTTGTCTGATGAATTTGACAGGGTATTTTGTGCTTTTTACACACAAACGTTCGTTTACTAATATGTGAAGTTGTTTTTGTACATAATTAGTATCAACTTTGTGCTTTGCGGGTGGATTTTGTCCAAAAACATGGTATTATGTGTGATTTTATTATTAATAGTTTTATACTTAGTGTCAAGTAAAATCTTGAGTAGCTCGTTTTACAAGACATTTTTTAAATTAGAATACTAGAAGTAAATGGCGTGTAATGTATATTACATAATTTAATTTTAAGGAAAGTAGCTGTGAGACCGTTGCTGGACAATATAACAAATCGGTTGAATCTGAGAGATGTATATTTTTTGCCAGTTACATATTGAACAGCACTTTTAATAATAAAATTGTCTTTAAATACTTACAAATATACCCGGCAGTTAATTGAATGATTTTAGAAAAAGGTAGCGAGAGATACGATTCATAGATACTATAACACGATGCATATGGTGACATTTGCTAGTTGGGAAAGTGAAGTAAGCAATAAGTCGCTTTCCGACTGTTTCAAAGTGTTTAAATCCATAGATTTGTGAGTAAAAGAACATACTACATTGCAATCAAATACATATCAACTCAATCACAAAACACTGAAATTCCTTATGAAGCATTTTCGGAGTAAGGTAATTTAGTTTAAATTGATATAAAATAAGGTATATATAAGGTATAATATATATATATATATATATATATATATATATATATATATATATATATATATATATATATATTAATAGTGTCAATGATTGTTATCTTTTACAAAGTGATATTAATGCAAGGCATAACTGGTCTGTGAAGAAATATGTCACCTAATATCATCAAGGTTTACACAACATAACTAGCATTCAAGAAACTGTAGATAGTATTCAGTATAAAGAGTACTATAATTTTTGTAATCTTCATTTATACACCAATTTTTTAAATGAGCGGGTCACACACAATTATACCTTATTTAGATAAACAAAAATTAGTACTCATGAATTCCTTAATTCCAAAAGGTATTTTTTTTATTTGGAAGGTATTATTTTAAATCTTATTAATATTTCTCTGCAGATCTCTTGAAAGTCACTACCATAGTTCCTTTCCAAAAGTAAGTAACACAATAAAGGTCACTGATTTTCGACCTACTAATAAATTACCACCAATCGAAAAAGTACTTGAATTTACTGTTTATAATCAGATTCTAGACCACGACGAAATAAATTAAATTTTAATGAATAACCAATCTGGATTTTGAAAAAAATATTAGTGTGAGGCTGCACCCAACTCTCTTTATGCATTTTTAAAACTGAATAGATAATGATAACTGTGTTGTAGATGTATTTGTGGTGAGAGAATTGCCTTTAGATGATATCCTAATAGCATCTTATGATTCTAACTTGGAAAATGCTGTACAAAAAAAAGAATTCCATACTAATCTCTGTAAATAAATATCTTATAACTAATAAATTAAAATTAAATGTGACAAAAACTAAAGGCATAATAATAACCAGCAAATATAAGTTTAACAATATTGATCTAAATGCAATTAATCTTAGAATTAACAATGAAAAAATTGATATTGCATCATCAATTAATGCTGCGTTTGAATATCCACATCGGATGCATCTGAGATGTAAATATTTAATCACGTAATTCAATATACGTAAATGTAGTAGGACAGTGTCCGATGTGAACAAACAAACGCTCGAGATGTATAAAATGCATCGGAAATGGATATTCAAACGCAGCATAAGTACCTTGGATATCAACCCGATAACTTTTATTGTTCGGTGATCCTTTTGAATGTTTTAAAACTTTACTTCTTTGTAAGAATTTCAATTATTCAGTCACATTTTGATTACTGCTTTTCTGTTATCTTTCTTCAGGTTTTCAGAAAAAAACGGTATCCATCAATGAGAAATTTAAACAGTAAGTTAAAGTCCTGTTTGAATACAAATTTAATTTTATTATCAGTGCCTTACTGTAATGATTCTATTATTAACGAATTCATTTATAAACTAAACCAGTATCTTTTTAAATTAAATAAATGCACAGAATCATCTGGAAAAAAAAACGGAAAAATTTTGTCTAAAAATGCACTGGTAGATAAACTATTGGCAAACCAAAATAAATAAATAAATGAACCAAAGACCCATAGTAACCTAAGATTTGTAAAAATAAATAACCAAGAAAGCCAAGATAGCCAGAACCCAGTTAACTTGAAAAATCAAAGAAGTAATTTTTTTAGTCTAACCTCCAATAATAACATTAGAAATTTAAATCTTACACATATACCTGGAGATTCTTTCCTTTTGTACTTAAATTCACAAAGTCTACCTGCTCATTTAGATAAAATAAGTAATTTAGTAATTAAAATTAGACTAAGGGGCCTATTCAGTAACTCTGAACGACATCGTTAATAGACGATAATCGTTCACAGACGACTTTTCTTATTCAGTAGACAACGATTGTCGTTGAAAATAGACAAATATGGTTGTAAAATTGTCGTTCATTAACGATAGCCACAGAGCTGTCGTTAATAATATGAAGTGTCGTTATAGTGATTTTTCCATTGCCTCTCATTTTTCATTGTAAACCAGGATGTGTTCTAAATAATAAAAGCACTTTTTTTACAAATTTTACAACTAAATTGCCATCTACCTAATAAAGCAAGTACAATTTGTATAAGAATTTTTTTCGAATTTATTTATTTTAAAAATAAATTGATTCAAAGTTAGGATTACCCATTCAACCATTTACTATTGGATTCTTATTAACAGTGCTGTTCCTAAAGTAGCACTGCGAAACAGTAACAAAACCTATATATTATGAAAGTATAATAATACTTCTCCGTAACCTACACACAAAACAAGGCTAATGGCCTGAGTTATCGAAGCCGATGACAACAGAAAAGATAATCAGGGAAACTGATTGATCGTATCAAATTTGGTTTGTCTTTCAAATTCAATAAATACAACTTGTACTGTTCTCGAGTTGTTTTTTTGTATTCTTTTGGAATAGTTCTGTTTTTTTTTTTAATATATCCCTACTCATTTAAATAAACCCTACATACAATACGACCAGCAAAAATGGCCCGCGAGAAACAGAATTCCTACGAATCGAGAATCGACCCCGTGATCGTGTTGTAGGTTAAGAACAATAATTAATATATTCTGAAAAACAAATTAATATATCTACTAGTAGAATTTTTATTTTACGTTCCAAAAAATGTCAAATATACCGGGTGTTCAAATTAAAGTGTTAAAGTTAAATACCGCCTTTTATAAAAAAACGAAAGTTTTATAGTTTTTTGGGGAAAACATTTTAGCTAAAATCGTTTTTTTTTATAGCTAACCATAATATTATGTCCAACTTTTTTTTCGCGCAGCAAAATTTTCAAGTAGGTGTTACTCAATAAGTAAAAGTACAAGAAAAAAATGTTTCCTTTAGAAGTTTCTTATTTTTTTTATGAACTCTAAGAATACCTATGTAAAAAAATATGGTTCCAATTTGAAAAAAAAATCCACCTTGATATGGCCATATTATGGTCAGCTATAAAAAAATTAATTTAGCCAAAATGTTTTCTCTAAAAAACTATAAAACTTTTGTCTCATACTTTTTTTTATAAAATGCATATTTTCGGCGATATTTAACTGTAACACTTTAATTTAAACACCCGGTATAATCATCAACATACGTTCTTTTATCACAAAACACTAAATTATAATACCAACTTACTAGAAATCATCGTTCAGATTTGGTAACTAGAAACTAAGCGTCGGGCCAGATTATTTAAGGTGGAGGAAAATTGAGGCCAAAATACAAAGGGCCTTACACAGTTGGAGAGGTATTACCACATGAAATATATCAAATTCACAAAAAGCGACAGCGAATAACTCTAGCCGCTCAAGATTAGTTGCTATGGTAATCGAAGTAATTATAAAAAAGGTGAGTGGAAATCCCACAATATTAAATTAAAATAATTGTTCTCGTTGATTTATGGTGGAAATCCCACCAAATTTAACTAAATAAATTATGATAATAAATAGGCACTAGGGTTTAGTGATGTAGCACTAGCGTTTAGTATTAGGGTGGCAATCCCACCAGATGTTCCTGAATAAATCATGATAATAAATTAACACTAGGGTTTAATGTTGTAGCACTAGTGTTTAGTGTTAGGGTGGCAATCCCACCAGATGTTCCAGAATAAATCATGATAATAAATTAACACTAGGGTTTAGTGTTGTAGCACTAGTGTTTAGGGTTAGGGTGGCAATCCCACCAGATATTCCAGAATAAATCATGATAATAAAATAACACTAGCGTTTAGTGTTGTAGCACTAGTTTTTAGTGTTAGGATGGCAATTCTACCAGATGTTCCAGAATAAATCATGATAACAAATTAACACTAGAGTTTAGTGTTGTAGCACTAGTGTTTAGTGTTAAGGTGGCAATTCTACCAAATGTTCCTGAATAAATTATGATAATAAAGTAATACTAGAGTTTAGTTTTATAACACTAGCGTTTAGTGTTAGGGTGGCAATCTCACCAACAATAAATAAAAATAAAGGTAGTTAGTGACAATCCCACCAAGGTTAATTGAAAAGGTAGTTAGTGGCAATCCCACCAAGGTTAATTGAAATGGTAGTTAGTGGCAATCCCACTATGTTTACTGCAATGGTGGCAAT